TATTAATAAAATAAAGAAAGATATACTTAAGTAACAAGGTTCAAATACAATTATTTTTATATTTGGTGCATTAAAAAATCGTCAAAATTAGAAGTTTTTATTGAAAATGCTTATGGTTTAGTAGTACAATTTTGGAACCACTTATAAAATTCAATATTTTGTTTGAAAACTATCACCTTTAAAGTTTTACAATATACTAGCTAGTATACTATACTAATCATGATTCAAATTTTTATTTGCTTATTTTTGTATTAAATATATTATAATATTTTGTATTATAGTATATTATGTATCAAGTTTAATTAACGCCATTTTAGAAACGAAACGAGCGAGTGCTTAATGAAATGAATGTCTAGAAAAGTTTTAAACGAGTTGCATACTATACTTGTTCACGACAAATCCTTAATATTATCTAAAAAATGATTTAAATTAAATATTAAGAGACATATGTACGAAAATAAAGTAACAATCCCAATAAACATTTTTGACGTAATTTTCAACATTAACATTTCCCGTTATTATTTTAATTAAACTAAGCAATTATTAATACTTACTTTAAAATATTAAAATAACTTCAAAATATGATTATGTTAAGAAAATATGTCATCCTTTTATTACTATAATTGCAAAAAATTATCACAAAGTATAAAAATTCTTATTTGGTACAAAAAGTGGGAGTTGTTTTATTGAAATTACCGTTATAATTTCTAACTTGGAAATCTATCGGCACTAAAATCTCAAATTTTTCTGTGTAAATCAAAATTTAGTCCTTGAAAATGGACTAACAATCGATATAAAAGCAATTTTTCACAGTAAAAGAGAAGAGAATGTTTTATGGGTACTGTACGCAAAATTTTTAACACTTTATCAGTTAAATCTAGTTAACTGCACTACTACGGCAAAATAATCATATAATCTTTTCAAATATTGCTAACTTCAGCCCGTGACTAAAACGCCATATGTGTATTTAAAGGGAAACATGTACGATAATGGGCGTTTTACAGGAGGAAGTAGAAAAAATTAATTAAAAAGCAATATTCACACATTATATAAGCTATTGCCTTGAAATTATTTATATTTTAGAAAAAATTTGTAAACAAAAAATTTAAAAAGTACCCAATTTTGAAAATGTTGCGTTAAAAAAAATTCGAGGTTAGAAAGTTTTTCAGGTTAAGATTTTAGATTTTTCTTATGTTCAAAACTATACCACCTGAGAAAAAAACTGTTCCGGAAAACTCAATACAAACCAATTAAACAAACCATCGCAAAAAACGCGTTCGTGTCTGATAAACTTACCTCTATTAGAAAGTTATCCTCAATATCGCGAACAAATGAATTGCACTAGTCCCGCCATTCAAGTTTCGAAGAAAGAAAAAACTGACAAAGTCGATTTTCCGCCTCGCGAGCTAGAAGATCCGGTCTTAATCAGCGTAGCGATTCCGGTACAGCACGGCACGAGTACTAAACAATACTGAAAACGTTTCTTCCATGCAAGAGAATTTTGCCCGTAAAATTTACACTCCGATAATCTTCAAGTTAAACAATCTTCGTTCAAGATGGCGCGTATTGCACAAAATGCTTCGCTGTTATCTTTATTCGAATCGAAGAAAGGGATTGCTCCTTAGATTTTATTGTATATAGTTACCAGATTACACGAAACATTACACGAAATTATTTAAAAGATATACCCAAGACGTATACGCTGTAGCGAGGGGGTAATACACCCCCAACTATTCCGGGATGTTTCATAGGTATAATAATTGTTAAACAAATCGCAATATTTTACAGGTTAAAGAATAATTTGCAATAATTTGAGAATAATAAATCAATTTAAAATACACATTTTATTTCAATATACATAGTATAATTATGTAAAATAAGTCAGTTACTTCATAGTTTACAATACATTTATTACAATACTATCTTGAACAAAAACAATTATGTTAATTCAATTAACAATGGCACCGCGGCACATCAATTATAGTCGTCAAGGCGAATGTTTTCCGTTGCGTCATCAATTTGTGAACTGCTTTTTATGTGTACTTATACGTACAGTTCATTTTTTTAATTATTTTTATTAAGTTGGTAGCTTATGCCAGTTTGATTTAGTATTATTAGTATTTAAAAAATTGTACTCCTGCTTAAGACCTTAATTAAACACTCGGACACTGTCAAATTGACTCTAATATTTATTATTGATAATTACACTGTAGGGAGGTGAAAATATCACAGCTAAACGCTCGGACACGTAAACTTAATTTTTGGTCGTAGTTTACAAATCCGTGCTTGGTTTAGCTGTATCAGGTCAAAATTCAAAGATATTGGAAACACCCTGTATAAATTTAAACACCCTGTATAATTCTTTTTTAAATGAAATTTGGCGGGACCAACACATTAGTTCCAAATTAAAAAAATAACAAATTCTTGCAAAAATTGATCAAAAGATACACGTGTCCCTAAGGGTTTTTCTTGATAATTTAGGAAATTTGAAATGTTTTTTTGCTGATTTTTTTTTTATTGAGGATATTATAATAAATGAAATAAAAAGCATAAAACTGTTGGCACAAGAGGTGAATTATATTATTTTACAAATTATAATATACCAGTATACAGTGTGTCCCCGGATCGGATTTCCAATAGGAAAAACTTTTTTAGACCTGATACAGCTAAACCGAGCACGGATTTGGAATCTACGACCAAAAATTATGTTTACGTGTCCAAGCGTTTAGCTGTGATATTTCAAAAGTTAAAAATTTACCTACAGTGATATTATATAAAAAGATAACTATGTCAAAAATAATATCAGATTCTAAAGCAAAAGAAAAATGCATTCATTTCGATGAAATTATGCCAATTGGCATTTAAATGCCTCAATGGCAGAAAAAGTACATCGCGTTATGGACATTTTTGGAGTAAAAAAGTAAAAATATTAAATCACACATTATATTCAGCTAAATAGAAATTTTAAAAAATAAGGGGGAAATAATGATTGGACAACATTCACGTGTGTTCACATAAAATTTTAATTTCTTTTATATAAATTCTTTTCAAAGCGGAGATTATTATCCGCTAGGAATACTTTGTCTCTCCTGGGCCGTAGTCACCTATATTTAACTACTTTTTTATATGATTTTACTCATCTACACACCACCAAAGCCAAATTAATTGCACTTTTAACTACGAATTTTGACAACTCAACTTGACAACCGTTCACATTATTATAATTACATTTATAACTAGTTTAGTTTGTTTAAATCAATGCAACCAAATTTGGTTCCGTATTTACCAACCAAACCCCTAAATTTGCAACGTTGCCGCAGTCCAGATAAAAAAAAGAACTTTATGAGGGATGTATGCCGGACGTATGTCGACAAATCGGTTTTTGACATTTGAAATTGATGACGCAACGGAAAACATTCGCAGAGGCAACTATACCGCAGAAAGCCGAGCAGGCGTAGTAAACTCATCCAGGTAACTAGATAGCGATTTGTAATTGCCTGCATATGCATGAGAATTCCACTCAATTTCTTTTCGATTCAGTTTGTTAACTGATGCGCGCGATATTAATGAGAGGCACGCGGGACAAATGCACGGCTATCTTCTAAAATTGTTGTAATTTTGTGACACAACGCGCACACACGAAATCATTGCGGTAATGTAACCGTTTTGCAATTAGGATGAAATTTTATTCGCAATCTGTTAAATTATAATTATTTAATAGGCAGTTGCTTTGCTAAAAATCATATAATACAACTGTTATAAAAGAAGATTCTTTTGCAAAAAACATCATAAATTGTCTAATATTCTAAAATTGGCGGATTTATCATTTGAAAATGTATAATAGCCTTTTTAGTCACTTGTACTTATCTTTTGAAAGCTCTTCCATTTTTAAGACAATGTACATACATAACTCTAAAATAATGTCCTGCTATTAAATATTTAACAAAAAATTAAATTAGACGTCAAATAGTTGAATGTGCATTGGACTTTAACCCTACAGAGTTTTAAAGTTCGATTTTTAAAATTAAATGAGAAACCAATTTTAACCCAACCAAAAAAAAAGGAAAACATTTAAAAAAAAATATTTTTAAATAGGTACCCAAAACTTTTTTAAAAATTGACTAACTGGGACGTTTTTTTGTTCTTTAATGTCCTTTTTAGAAACCATTTTTATCAGTTTTTTTTACCTACTATTTATAATAAATAATAATAATAATAGTAAATATTTGATACTAATTTAAATTCGAAAAATTTCAAAGAAAAAGACAACCATCTGTGTAATCCTTATCATTATTCATAAGGTTATATTATAAATTAAGTGTAAAATATTATGGAACAATGGTTAAGTAAAGATACTTAAATTGATTTTATTATAGAAATAAAAAGTAAAGTCGGCGTATTTTGGGAAAAGCGGTATTAATCAATTAGGTTTTTTATAAAAAAAAATAAAAGAAATAAAAAACGGTGAACTTGAAAAATTAAAAAAAACAAAATTTTTTATAGAACTTGACATCAAAAAATTGTTTAGTATTTTTTCTGAAAATTACATTGAAAATCAAGAAATTAAAAAAAAAACTTTTTATTTAGTCTTTTGTTTGGTCGAGAAAAAATTAAAAAAAAAACATAAAAACATTTTGTGTTCAAAAGTGGTCGATTAGGCGTGACGACCCATCTATAGACGTTTTTTGAAATAACAACTTTTTAATACTTTTTCTTCAAAAAATCCGTGACATTTTTATGCCATAAATTAAATTAAAACATTTATCTAGGGTGACGAGATTCAAAAATATTTCAATGCATGTATCTCATTTTTATCAAAACGGATTTAAGGGGTTTTGATACTAGAGGATTGAAGTAAAACTTATTACGTATAATTAAAAATATTTTTATAATCAAAAAAATATTATATTCTTTTTTTAATGCATTTTTAGATGTAGCACCGTTTTGCGGTTTTATAAGTAGCTCAAGCGGGCTTGGTTAGTGCCTGAGCACAATTCCGCGCGCGTCACGTTAATTAAAGGAAAAAATGTTATTGGTGAGTAAACTCTTATAGATTAAATTAAAAACTGTTTTAGTTAAAAATAAACAATTTTATTTATGTAAAATGTTTGAACTCTACAATACCTTCGATAAACTTCGCTAAAGCTAAAATCATGGGTTCGCTTAAATTTTTACCCATTACTTGTAAACTTAGTGGCAAACCGTTTTTGGATAATTTTATAGGAATACTGACTGCTGGAATACCTAAATTTTGTATGTTAAAAAAAATGTGACCAAGTAATTTTTAAAATGACTCACCCGCCATGTTTGCTGGCTGCGTACAATAATCTTGTAACGCGCACTGGTCCCTATTCGTTTTTTGAATAAACTCTTTGTACAAAGGGGCGGTAGACAACGTTGTAGGTGTCAGCAATACTTGTACATCCTCCCAAACATTGTCGAAATCGTTGGAAATCAACCTTCTTACTTTTAAAGCTTGGTTGAAATATTTTTCGTAATTCCTGGAAAAAAAATATACCTACCCTTTATTGTTTAATACTACATACTGTAAATATTTACCTGGTAAGTAAGAAGTAGTTTCCAGTCAATATACGATTTCGAACAACTTCATTAAATCCCAAACTTCGGCTGGTAGCGAACAATTTTTCAGTTGATGAATGGTTGTCTGCTCTAAGTCCAAACTCAATACCGTCGTATCTGGCCATATTGCTGGCCACTTCGCACTGGTTTAAAATTGAGTAACATACTATACTAAACTCTGTATGTCGCAAAGAAACCTACAACAAAATATTATGTTTCTTTACTCTTTCTAGGTCTTTTTTATAATGTAAATGTTGTTAGTTTGGAGTTTTTTTCTTTACTTAAAGTATATAAACAGAGCCAGCTAATTCAATTAGCCTAATTGTGAAAATGTGATTGATTTATCTACATTTTTTGTAGTTTGAAATACTACCAAATTAGTATAATATATTTAAATTATATATATCTGATGAATTTATTGTAAATAGCCTTAAGCTTGATGAAAAATAAATTATTATTATTATAATTATCATTATTATTAATATATTACATTGCCAATATTGTGCATTTTACAAAAAAGGTTCTTTTCTATAGTTAATTTACCCTCTCAGGTAAGGTAACATTTTTTAGAATTGTGAATTTTCTAATACTACAAAAAAATCCCTACAACTTATTAAAGATCTCAGAAAGGTATAAAAATAAAAGTCCTTATTAACTTATATTCTGTCTTATAAACATACCTGTTTAATTTTAGCACCATATTTTTCCAATATATTAGCTATTTCATTCCAGGTGTCATAAACTTCATCCCTTAAAAATTCTGAATGGTATTCAATAGGAATACCTACCCTCAAACCTTGCACACCTAATTTGTTGAAAGGAGGAAGTCTAAAAATACTATTTAATAAATAAAAAGAAAAAAATATGAGTTCACCTTATTTTATTATATGGTTTTGTCAATGATGTGGAATCTTTTTCATCAAAACCAGCAACTGCATTCAAAATTGAAACACAATCATCCACAGTTCTGGTCAAAATACCTGGTACATCCATGGAATTAACCAATGGTATCAAACCATGTCTAGAAACCAACCCATAAGTGGGCTTTAATCCCACTAAACCGCAGTAAGAAGCAGGATTTCTTGTGGAACCACCAGTATCTGAGCCTATAGCACTACAAAAGTAATAAATAGGTGAAACAACCCCTAAAGGCCCACTAAATAAAAAAATTTGCACAAAACAAATAAATTTTTACGGTTTTACTCAATATTACCCAAAACATGCCCCTGAAGAAACAGCTATGGCACTACCTCCACTACTTCCTCCGGATATATAAAATTCCTCTGAACCCTCCTTATACCCCCATATATTTTTTGTTGGGCCATAAATAGAATCCACTGTTCCAGCCCCCATAGCAAATTGGTCTAAATTGGTTTTACCCACAAGGCAAGCTCCAGAATCTTGTAGCCTTTCATAAACTGTTGCATTATATGCAGGGACAAAATTTTCCAACATTTTTGAGGCGCATGTTGTCTTTATGTTGTTTGTACAAAAATTATCTTTAATTGCAATAGGTATTCCATCCAGTTCTGACTTTGGTTTATCCAATTGAAACCTTTGTAATGAGTTCTCGGCTTGACTGGTGCCTTCATTTTCTGTTAGAGTTATAAATGCATTGTATTTTTTTAAATTTTTGGCTTTAATAAATGAGGTTTTTAGTAAATCAGTTGATTTAATGTGTTTTTCTAAAAGAAGTCTGGCGGCCTTAAAAAATTATAATTTATTATAAACTGTCTTATATATTATTATAAATGTACCGTTCTTATGTTTGAGTGCAATACTTTTTCCATAGTTTGCTTAACTAAATTACTATTTACATCACAAAAATAACATTACAGAACTTTAAGGTTAAATGTAACATGGGTTGCCTACCTTTTACAAATTTATTGGGTCATTTGAACTACTATAATTTTTAATATACGAGGAACCCTCAAGAAGATTTATAACATTATGACTAAAAAAAACTAGAATATAAAATAAACTGATTTATTCTGAATTAGAATATCAACAAAATAAATTTAAATGTAACATCACTTTTCAGCTTTACAAATATATTCTTGTGCCTTTTGTTTAACTGCTTCTAGAGTTTCAGTTGTACCATATTCTTCTTCAAATTTTCTGAATTTAAGGAAAAGTGATTTCATGCTTCTGACGGGTAATCTCTGGCACACAGATCTTTCCAAAACTTTTCTAAAATGAAATAAAATATATTTTATGGTAAATATGAACTTGTTTTAAAGAGCATACCTGGCTTGTTCAAGTCTGTTAAGTTTAACTAATTGATCCACATATGTCGACCAGATATTAACTTTTCTGGGATCAATGTTGATAATAGACTCGAAAATTGCTGCTCCCTGTTCTTCTTCTCCATATTTGAACTCCATGATGGCAAAACGGATAATAAGGCTCATTTCTAAAAATAAATTTAATAAGATCAAAACAAAACTAAAGAAGAAAAATATTACGTGTTTTTTTATCTGCAATAGATTTTAACGCAGCATCCTTCATGTTTCTGGCATCTTTAAACTTCTTTATTTTATAATAAACTTTTCCTATTTCAGTCCACATGGTTGTATCTTGCTTGTGTTTGTTTTTGACCTTTCTTATTTTTTCCTCCATCTCACTTAATTTCCCATTATCTGCCAACATTTCAATAACTTTAAGGTAAACTTGAAGGGAATCGTTGAACTTTATGGCATCGTCAAAAACTTTATCAAAAGTTTCCTTGTTTCCATATAAATTTTCCAAGTGAAGCAATGCAATCCATATATTCAGTCTTTCCTGGACGCAGGTCATATTTATGCCTTCTAAAGCTCTTTTTGCCACCGATCTGGCTTTATCAATCTCTGTAGACTGTAAAAAACAAAATTAAAAATAACAAACATTAATACATCAAGGACTTACTGATATGTGGAAAGCCATATATTTGGTCCACAACTCTGAAGAGTTTGGATTTGCTAGTAATAATCTGTCAAAATCATCGGCGCTTTCCGGTTCAGCCACATTATCAGCAAATCTTTTCTCAATTTTCGATAATCTCTCTTCCTCTAACTTCATTTGTTCTGCTCTTTCTGCCCGCGACAATTTTTTCTTCTTTTTTACAACCACGCCTTCCTCCTCTTCATCTGAAGACGACTCTTCCGGTGCTTCAGAAGGCTTAAGCGGATTGAAGAATGAAGAAATGCCTGGAAAAATGGACTTTGAGTTGTCCGTAGAAGATTTTGGCGTTGCATCTTCATCCTCTGAACTTTCTGCTTTAATTTCATCTAAATCAGATTCTTCTAAATCTGATTCATCGATTGCCATTTCTACATCTGAATCTTCCTCAGATGCTTCATCATCTTTTTCCTCCTTTACCTCGTCGCTATTTTCTTCTTCTTCTTCTACCTCGTCGCTATCTTCGTCAACTTCCATTTCTTCTTCATCCTCATCTTCATTTTTGATGGTTTTTCCGGCATCTACGTTGGATAATCTTTTAAGTTTTTCCAATTCAGCTTTACTATTTTCTTTTTCTAACGTTAAGAACAATTTTTTGCTGATTCCAATTAAATTATTACCAATTTTGCTAAAATATTCTTAGATTAACATCACGGAAAAATGTATTATTAGGAAAAAACGTACCCACAAATTGATATTTTTAACTTATTCTGATTGTAATATGAAGAAGGGTTTGAGTTGTCATTTTCATACAATGATAAAGGAATGTACACCAACTGTTTATTACCTTCTGAATGTTTTAACACTGTCAGAAGATAATCTTTTTTCTCTAAAAGTTTTTCCACTACACAAGAGGCAGTTTGAGACATGTTTATTTCAAGGTCTAAAATAAAATAAATGAGGTTAAAACATACAAATTGTATGTTATAGGGCACGCCGTTTTAGCATTTATTAGATGATAGTTTAAAGATTAAAGTTTAGCACTTTAATGATGTTTTAACAGAAATTTACAAAGTTAAATTTTTTTTAAACTTAAAACCATTGATGGTAAAAAAAATTAAATATAAAATACAACTGTAAAACTTTTAGCTTAAATATTGATTTTTAAAAATTTACGTTCAAATATTTTATTCTGCAAAATCGGTTTAAATTTGTAAAAAGTCATTTAATTGATAGTCGATAAATTTTTAATACAACAATTCTCGCATTAAATTTAAATGTAAGTTTTAAATTTTAAAGTGGCAATTTTTGGAATAAAAATGTCTATCATGTCTATTATCATTTAAATGACTCTTTACAAATTCACACCAAAACTTTTTATTTTTAACAATTTTAAATTGATACATTTTTAACACAAAATTTATAATTTTACAGTTCATTATTTTTTTATTTGCATTCGTGTTTTTTTATTAAGTTGGTAGCTTATGCCAGTTTGATTCTGACACTGTCAAATTGACAATAATATTTATTATTGATAATTTACTTGTTTATTTTTATTATTATCTAAGATTATATATAATAATTATAAAAAGATAACTATGCCAAAAATAATATTAGATTCTAAAGTAAAAGAACTTTTAAGGGGCATTTTTTGAGTAAAAAAGTAACGTTTTTGGTTTTATAAATGTACAAAGCGCGAAGTCTACAGCATATGCAGTCAGCTAAAGCAGCGTTTACACTTTGTGAATTAAAAATTATCGACTTACATTTAAATGTAAAGTTTAAATTTTGTGTTAAAAATGTATCAATTTAAAATTGCTAAAAATAAAAAGGTCTGGTTTAAATTTGTAAAGAGTCATTTAAATTATTGTCGATAAATTGTTAATCCGATATTGCCACTTAAATTTTGTGAATTAAAATTTATCGACTATCATTCAAATGACTTAACAAATTTAAACCAATAATTTTTTAGAATAAAATATTAAAACTACAATTTTTAAAAACCAATATTTTAAAATTAAACATTTACATTTGCATTTTTTTTTTATATTTTTTGATTATCAATTTTTTTTTTAAACTAGGTACTTTGGTAGAAAATGTTTTATATACATGTGTTTTAATTTTAAATGTCTTGACACTATTTTTAAAAACTAAAAAATTTTACTTTACCAATTTAATCTAAATAATTTTATAAAAAAAATATTTAGGATTTACAAAATTCTGCCAAATAAATTAAACTTAAGAAATTATTTTGACAGATTATTAGTTAGAAATTTTTGAAAAAATTGAATGGAAATAATATTGTTTAATACAAAAGTGAACTGTTAGTACATTTTGTCTTTCAATACATGATAGTTAAATTATTTTAAATTTATAAATGTAAACCTAAAGTTTTTACTAAGGAAAATTGTAACCAATAAAATTTAAAATTGAAAAAATTATTTAATAAATGTTAAAACGGCGTGCCATAATGTTATATCTACCTTGATCTTCATTAATTTTATTTGAAAAATTATCGTTGAGACATAACTCGACATACTCATCCGCAAAATCTTGTGATAAAACCACGCCATCGACTTTTTGTCCGTTTTTACAATTCGCTAAAAATGAGAATTTAATGTACATATTTTTGGTATTTTTTTTTTGTTATCTTCTTACCAGGTATGAGTAGTTTTGGTACTAAACCTTGACCACCATTTGGTAAAGTACACACACAGCCAAGTTTAGTAACATTTTTAACAGTACATTTTACTCTTTCCCCAGGATTGTATTTGCAATGCAGCCAATTGTTATTTTTCCCAAACTCCCTTAACTTTTGCAGGTCTGATAGATATAGTCCAAATAAACTTATAGAATACTAAAAATATTGCCTTATAATAAACAAATTTAACATTTCCAGTATGTTTTACCTCCACAGATCTGTCCAATTTGGTGGTAAGCTTCAAAGTTTTATTGTTATTGTCAATAGTTAAAATTCTCGCCAAAATTGCTTGCTGATACTCGAATTTTTGTCCCTGTAGATTTCCTTTACTTATATGGACTTTATCGTGGTAGTCCTTTGTAAAGACAGTGACGTAAATACCAGTTTTATCCTCGGATTCATAGAAACATCTGACGATGTTGCCTTTTTTCAATTGGTCAAACTTTTTTAAGCTTGCTTTATTTTTAAATCTCAGGCCTTCGCGTCTTGAAAATGCCATTAGGTTTGGGTCGTTGTTGATGCATATTAGGTTTTTGATTTTGTCACCAACTTTGTAGGTTTCTGTGAAAAAGTTTATTATTATTTTACTTATAATGTTATATGATTGATTAGTCTTACTTAGTAAAGGTTTGCAAAGGTTTATATGGGTGCCCAAATGGTTCACATGTAAGGTACCAAGTATTTTTCGTGTTGATGTTTTGATATCCAAATGATCATCATGTATTTTAGTTACTACACCAGTTATAAAGTCACCAACTTTAATATTAACTGCTACTTTATCTGTTGGTTCTTTTAAAGACAAAATTGCCATGTTATTTTTTACTGACAACACTAAAACGTTTACCTAAACAATAATGTTATATTAGGTTAAGGTTTAGAGGTGCCCAATCAAAAATAATATTTTTTCTGAATTTTTATCAATGTACAGGGTGATCCCCTATAATGTCGCCCCCCTTTAACTTTTTTATTTTAAGTGTCCCAAAAAAATTAAAAGTGTGGTTATGTAGGAACTAAAAAATACTTTTTTTCTACGTATAAAGAAAATTGGAAAATTGATCAGTATACAGGGAAAAACAAAAAGTTAATTTTTTTTCAATGGATCACCCTATATATGAATTTATTTTTCGATTCCTTGTAAAATTCTAAGCATATTTCATATATCATACCATATACCTAAATTCAACCGTTTCTGAAATATTTAAATTATTTTTAAGATAATAACTTGAAATAGTTTGTCTTTCTCTGTCTGAGTACGCCATTTTTACTTATTTAACAACACTTATTGACATAATGTCACTATAGTAATTTATTTTCAATAAAAATTTTGGTATACTGAGGCTTCTTGATTTTTAACAGTTTAAAAAAACATTTAATGATGACATTTCGAATGCGAATATTTCAGAAACGGTTGAATTTAGGTATATGGTTTGTAAATAAATTATGCTCAGAATTTTACAAGGAATCGAAAAATAAATTCAAATATAGGGTGATCCATTGAAAAAAAATAAACTTTTTGTTTTTCCCTGTATACTGATCAATTTTCCAATTTTCTTTATACGTAGAAAAAAAGTATTTTTTTGTTCCTACATAACCACACTTTTATTTTTTTTGGGACACTTAAAATAAAAAGTTAAAGGGGGGCGACATTATAGGGGATCACCGTGTACATATAATCTAAGTAATTTATTATGTTACATTGAAAAAATACTTTATTGTTTTTTTTGTTTCACATTCCACATAATCTATTTTTCTTAAAAATTTTAAACAAAATGCTACTTCTGGTTTAACTGAAAGTGGACATCAACTTTGTTATTGTAAATACAAATTACTATACCATGTCCTTTACCTAAAGTGAATAGATTTCGAGTTATTAATTTTTTTCTTTAAAATTTGAGAAATGCGCGTCAATCCAAAATAGCCTAAAACTTGTTTATGTATTGTAAAAATATATGGGGCGAACGTGAAACAAACTGTATAAAATTCTATATTTCATTAGGAGTCAACTTACAACTTGTCCTTTATAGAAATATTGTTGGGGGTTCACTGAGTCCTCAGAATCCAAGTTACTCTTATTTATAGTTCCCTTAACATTGCCGTAAAAACCTACTGTAGCACAGTATGGATTTGTCCTGATGATTACACCAGGATATTTTTGATTTGGGGTAAAATCTTTGAGAGATTTCAAACAGGCATCTGACTCTACTAAAGCAGGTTTTAGGGTAAATATGACATTCTTATCTTCAGTTATATTAACTACCCTGAAAAAATATGTTCTTACAGTGTTTCCTTATACAGGGTGTTTTATAATTGCAAGCTAGGATTTTAAGGAAAAAAGTTCACCAATTTAAGATGATATTTACCTATTTACTTACTAAAATGAATGGGGGTATAGTAAAAACCAAGATACATACCTTAAAAAACCATCCTGACTAGGACATGTATGGCACGCCGTTTTAACATTTATCAAATAATTTTTTAATTTAATAATTTTATTGGTTTAAAATTTTCCTAACTAAAATTGTTAGGTTTACATTTATAATTTTAAATATTTTTAACTATCATGTATTGAAAGACAACATTTACTAACTAACACTTCACTTTTGTATTAAACAATATTATTTCCAATCGATTTTTTGATAAAAATAATTTATTTATAAAATCATTTAGATTAAATTTGTAAAGTTACATTTTTTAATATTTAAAAATAGTGTTTAAAATTAAAACACATATAAAACATTTTTTACCAAAATAGTTTTAAAAGTTAGTTTTTAATCTCAAAACAATAGATAATCAAAATATATTTTAAATAAAAATGTAATGTAAAAGTTTATTTTAAAACATTGGTTTTTAAAAATTGTAGTTTTAATAATTTATTCTACAAAAATATTGGTTTAAATTTGTAGAGACATTTAAATGATAGTCAATACATTTCCAAAAATTACCACTTACCACTAAAATTTAAAACTTACATTTAGGTAAATGTAATGTGAGAATTTTTGTATTAATTATTATAATTTTGTAGAATAAAATATTTGTACTAAAAATGTTAAAAATCAATATTTTAAAGCTTAAATTTTTACAGTTGTATTTTATATTTAAAATATTTTTAAACTATCAATCGTTTTGAGTTTAAAAAAATGTAACTGTAAATTTCTATTCAAACATCATTAAAGTGCTAAACTTTAATCTTCAAACAATTATCCAATAAATGCTAAAACTTTGTGCCATAGACATATGAAATATTTGCAACTTTTTTTACTTACCTGGCATTAACTTTCTTGCCCACTACGAACTTTTTCTTGATGTTGTCGCTAAACTGTGCGTTAGTTATTTGATTGTTAGGCACAAACCCTCTAAAACTGCCAGCACTCACCACCAGCCCTTCAGATTTAACATTTTCAATTTTGACATTCAACAATTTTCCCAACTCAATATCGTTAATATTGAACAGTTTCTGCTTAACCAAAGCTTCTTCTACTGTTACAACATACATTTGTGATAGATAGTTAAAATCGAAAATTCGACATTTATGAACACTGCCCACAGGGTATTTAAAGGAAATTGCAGTGTTTAAATCTGATGAATTACTTTTTGGGAGAGTATTTATTACTCTTTTATTTGTTGAGAAACCTTTTTGGTTTTCTGGGAGCTCAAAGTACACTCCTTGATTTGATTTAGAGAATACTTCAGCTTGAACAATGTCTCCAGATTTATATACAGCAGTGGAATATGCATCTGAAGTTCTTAAAGTTAAATGGGTAATTTTTGTGGCCGGTTCCACATAAAGAACAAAAGCTTTCAATAATTTGCCCTCGTTGTAGTCTTGAAGTTTTTGCAAAGGTTTTTTAAGGAAATTTTCGTTGACATATCCGAAATAATCATCCAGAAATTTTCCTTGAATGCCGCTTGAGATAATCTGGAATTAAAAAATTGATTTGTGTTTTCGGTTAAAATTTTATCATACCTTTTCTGATAAAAAGTCCACATGCATTCCAGGCATGATATCATGTAGACTACTTAACTCTTCTATTTTTGTTGATTTGATGTGTTCTTGCTTTGCACTAACCCTTAATGTATTTGCAATAGTATCATCAGAACTTTTGTGAATAACACAAAATAAGGGCTCACCAATTGCTATTGAAAAAAAAATTAACAATTATCAACATAACTAATGCAAATTCAAACTTACTGTACGTTTTTTCTTTATCAACATTTTCTCTAGGCAAAAAAACTCTACAATTCTTAACCCCCATTGAAAGTTCATAACCATGATCTAAAACTGATTTTACACAGGCCCATACCAACATATTCTTCTTGAAGGAACCATGATTCTTCCCACTATTAACATCAGTTGGATTTACACTTCCTTCAATTCTAAAACCTTTCTCTGTCTCATTAATGCTAACCACTTTAATTGGCAAAATTTGTCCAATGTGAAACAGATTTTTTAGAATAAAATCAGGATCATCGTTTTCATCATTTTCATTCAACTTTTTGTTTAGGTATTGTGTGAATTGATCGGATATATTTGTAATGCCAATGTGGGCAAATATAAGTCCTGGTAATTCTACTTCCAGAGAGAAATTTGTTACATTACGTACACATCCTAATATTACCATGCCATCTTGTACTTTCTAAAAAGGCATTATATTAATTCAAATTACATTATCAGTTAATATATATAAAAATATTTACTTGGTACGTTAAAGAACCTGATACTTTAACAGCAGACTGAAAAGCATCTTCAGTTAATAACCCTCTAGATTGTTTCTCATTGCTTGTTTTCGATTTTTTACTTTTCGGGGCACTTTTAGAACCAAACAACTAAAATTTAAACCAATTAAGCTAAATTAATCACTGATAAATAAAATATTACGTTATCATCTGCTTTTGCAGGCCTCTTAAAAGGTTTTGTTACTTTCCTACGACCTCTAGGGAAGCTTTCTTCTTCTTGCGGAATCATTTTTATAAAATTCTTGTCACAAAACACGTAAAATATATTCAAAAACAACACATTTTCAATCACAAACTCACAAGAAGTATATAGGTTATGTTTCTTTTAACCTCACTTTAGCACATGTCAAGTTAATTGTGTATGCAACCAAGATTACAATCTGGCATTCTGGTTGCCTGCTTATCTTCTAAGAAGATAAAGATAAAGAAAATTCTTCTTTCACTATGTTCTAAATTTATCTCATAATTTGACTATGGTCTAAATTTCTCTCGTATTTTTATTATATTTATAATTTACTATAATGTTTTTTATTTGTGTAACCATTAAAAACATTAAAACACTTAAAAGATTATTATTTGGTAAAAACATTATCCATCCGCCTATCAACAAAGACCACGTACTCTTTATTATCTTTAATTACACATATAATTCCAATTCTTTAATCATTCTGCGACTTTCTCATCCACAGAGTATAATCATCATCATCAAATCATTTAACAGAAAGATGGGAGATTTACCAGAAACGTATGTGGCCGGTTTCCACGATGTAGAGGCGGTAAGAAAAATGAAATACACAATGCTGGGCGATACAGACATTAGGGTTTCGAAGATATCCTTTGGGACAGCAGTGTTTTCGAATTTATATAGGTAAATAGGCAGAATTTGGTTTGGTGACGTCACGTGTGTTACGAGGGAGGGTCAATAAATAACTTGATTTTAGCGGTTCCAATGAGGATCAATGGAAGAAAACATTGTGCGGTGCGTTAAAAAGTGGGGTCAATTATATTGATACTGCGCCTTGGTACGGACAAGGCAAATCAGAGGAAACCCTGGGAAAAGTAAAGTTATAACATAACATTAATAATATTAATACTTACTTGTTAAACTAATTAATTAATTATTAATTATTTAATTTAATATAAAAATTTAAATATATTTTTAGCTTTTGGAGGGCGTACCAAGACAAGCTTATTACATTGCGACCAAAGTGGGCCGTTATGAAAAAGACCCCAAAAAAATGTTCGATTTCAGCGCCAAAAAAGTCACCGAAGGATTTGAAGAATCTTTAAGGCTATTAAAATTGGATTATGTTGACATAATACAAGTAAATTAAATTCTATTTATTTAAGCATTACCTAATTGTTTAATATTTTTATTAGATCCATGATGTTGAGTTTGCCCCAAACATGGATATAATTTTGAATGAGACCTTACCTGCTGTGCAAGCCATCGTAAAATCTGGGAAAGCTAAATACTTGGGCATTACCGGATACGCGGTATCCACTTTGGCGGACATTTTGGCCAAAAGCAAAGTTAAAATTGACACCATTTTGTCCTACTCGAGATTCACCGTTTTGGACCAAAGTTTAAATTCCTATCTGCCGATATTTAAGGTAAGTAAATTTGTGTACTACTCACAAAGATTATAGTTTCGTTTTAGTCGCAAAATATAGGTATTATAAATGCGGCAGTTAATGCAATGGGACTTTTAAGTAACTATGGACCTCCGGATTGGCATCCAGCTACAGAAAGTTTAAAGAAAGCTTGTGCTGAAGCCAGAGAATATTGTAAAGTAAGATTTACATGAATAATAAGTGTAATAAAATATCTTTGTGAAAATAATATTTTAGGAGAACAATGTGGAATTGGGTAAACTGGCAGTCTATTATAGTGTTAACCAGAAAGGGCCACACACTACATTGGTTGGAATGAACCATATAAGCATTTTGAAATCAAACTTGGACGTCCTCTACAACGGTTTGACAGATAATGAAAAACAAGTTTTTGATTACCTCCAAAATAAGTAGGTTTCTAACCAAACTAATTTATAATGTTTTGCTGACAAATTTCTTTTAGTATATTTGGCAAGCTTGAAAACATTTGCAACTGGGAAGGCGTGGAACTTGCATGGTACAGAGAAGAATTAAAGAAGTAAAATATATTAGCATAATTTTTATATCAGTTGTAATTGAACAAGGAAAACATTAAATTTTATTATATTTGAATAACATAATAAATAAACTTATGTAAATAACAGATGATTTAATTTGTCGTTAAAAAAACTACACGTGTATCGTAAATAATTTAAATTAATTTAATTGGTTATGTAAAAATAAGTATCCAATAGTGTTTTGAACTTTGTGATAACAATGGGTTGATACCTACTTAAGTACAATTGTATTCATAATGCACCTAAATATAATTTAGATATTATAATATCATTCTGTATAAAAGATTAAAATTGTATTAAAATTTATTTAGACATATAGACCTATATTTATTAAAAAATATTTGTATAAATAAAGACTAGTGAATTTTTTTTTAAATTATAAATATGGGTTATTTAACGGAAAATTTTTAATCAAAATATGAAATAGGATTCAAGAAACTCTTGATGTTTTTATCCAGTTTCAAAAATATTTTCCATTTAATTAATAAAGGGTGGGCCATGTTTATGTTGAATTATAAAATAGCAATGAGAACAAGAAAAACTGTTTTTTTTTCAACGAATTTTGCTTTATTTGATACAATGTTTCTTCCGATTAAGTATGGAAAATGATTTTATTTAAGTGGCCACCTCAGCTGGCTCGGCAGTAGCCCATCCTGGAACACCAATTTTCGAGCACTTTGTCAAAAGTTTGCTGCTCTATTTAGGCAATTTGAGCTTGAATGTTTTGTTTTAAATGGTGAATAGGCTTTGTTACGGCGACGTGTGGATTTTCCGTGGCCCAAATCCTACAGTTTTGCTTGTTGACATAACCTCCGAGGTAAAAATGCGCCTTATCCGAAAAGATGATTTTTCTTGCAAAATTAGGGTCATCGTTCAACTGGTTTAAAGCCCACTCAGCAAAGCGAAAACGTTGTGGATGGTCAACTTGCTTTAACTCCTGAACAAGCTGGACTTTGTACGCAAACATACCGAGGTCTTTGTGCAGAATCATCCTCAGAGTGGTACGGGAAAGGCCGAGTTGTTGACATCTGCGCCGAGTTGATGTTGACGCGTTCATGCGTACATTTTGGGCCACAGCAGCGATTGCTTCAGGTGTACGTCTAGGACGAGCATGCGTCCACCATGGTGCAGCATTCCATTTCTGCGCAATTTTTTGATCAAATTTTTAATACTTTGGTTTGACGGCGCCTCATTTCTTCCAAACGCAATTTTCTTGCCGTCTCTGCGATCACAGTCACATTCAAAGTAAGTTTTGAGTATTTCGTAACGTTGATCCAAATTTATTCGGTGCATATTTTGTAATCGGAAGGTTAAAACTAAACCACTGTCAGCAATTCTTGGCGCTTAAGTTGAAAGCTTCATTAATAGCACGTAGTTTAAAATTCAACTTATAGATGGCCCACCCTTTAAAAAAATAAATAAAAAATACTTGAGTGTAATTTTTTTCACATCGTTAACGAAAAAAAATACTACAAGCAAAAAAAATTTGATTAAAAATTTGACGGAAAATAACCCATGGGGCATTTCACGCCAAGCGGGCAACTTTAAAAGCAAAGTTGTTTAAATTTGTTCCTATTTGGGTATGCTGTACCCCTAGGGGGTCTTAGCATTGACATAAAACTAGGGGCTTTTACATTTTCGTCAAAACGTTGTGCATGGTGTATTTTAAAGGGGTCTAGCTTCTTGAAAAATCTTCTTAGAAAAAAAATAAAAAATCATATTTGTAGGTAATTGCATATATGCTCTTTTTCGTTATGCACTCAAATTAAAAATTCCAATTTGTTAAAAATAAAAAATTTTGTTTTAAAAAATTAAAATTATAATTTTTTTAATTTCGGCCAGTTTTTTTTTTTTTTAATTGCTTAAAAATTCTCTCAAAATGTATAGATGAGGCATACAAAATTTTGTAATGGGATGAGCACTCGTTTAAATGCTAGAGGACTTGAAGTAAACCCTCCTCAAACCTAGTGGCGCGCCGCGGCGTTAGGTCCTATAGCGCGTGATACACTGTTTAGTCGATAGCGCTTTTGAAAAACTTGTTAAATAAAATTTAATTATTGTGCACAATTACATCGATATTGTTTAACTTGATTTTATTGTCCTTTTTAATATTTTTTTACTGAAACAAAAAATATAGGATTTAAACATGCAACATTGCATTACAATAAATTTAGTAGGTATACTTACGAACCCACAAATTTTCTTAACATTGTGGTTATAATACCAATATTTATAGTAAAAAAATAATATTAAATAAATTGATGAAACATTATTATTGTAAATAAAACACCTTCTTTGGGCCTTTCAATTAATTTATTTTATAATTTTTATTACCTTATGTTTTAAACTATTACTTATATTTTAACTAGACTGCCTTCGAGGGTTGGAATAAACGCGTGAAATTTTTTTGTTCCGGGAATAGTACTATCATTAACAAAACGATTTTCTAAAAATATCCTTTATTGTTGAATTTCTTCCTTGCTGCAATAATAAATCGAAGTTTCTGTTAAAGTTTTTTGAGCCCAATTAAACAAACGCTGTGGAGTAGTGATAGCCTTTTCTGATGGCATGCCATCAGAAAAGGCAACTGAAGACTTGCACGGGATGCCAAACGCTTTAAATTGCCTCCGAGTCCATCACATGGTCCTTTACCATGCACAGTACCATGAAAATGTAACTCTGCATCTTTATTAAAATCTCGCTTGTGATAAAATAGATTTAAAAAGTTAAAACGATTTTTGAAATGCTGTGATGCTTCGTCTGTCACGTAAAAAAGTTTGGATACCGGCAAACATTTCATTTCAAAATGTTTATGTAAAATTTTATGAAATTTATAAAAGGTCGCAGTATCGTGCTTAAGGTCGTCAGTTATCATTACAATGCTTTCATGTTTTACTTCTCGTTCTTTATTAAAGTAAAACACGCAAGTTAAAAGGGTGGCTTGATTGTTGTTCCAGTGGAAAGATTGGGCAGCATCTTGAACTACAAAACTGTAGTTCTCAGCAAAATCACACTGGACCATAATTTCTCCTTCAACTAAATTTTCCTTTAATGATTAAAAAAAAGATGCTTGCTCATCCACAATATAGGCATGTGGTTTTAGTACATCAAGGCCAGCGCATAGACGATCAACAAAATCATCGATAGGTAGTATTTGGGTTGTAAAAGAAGAGCGATCAGTACCAATCCAAGCTTCAAATGTCACACTTGATCAAAAACCATTCTTAAATGATCTTGAATTATTCTTATACCAGGGCGATTTGCAACTTTCATTTTTTTGAGATTTCGATGTTAATAAATGACAAACTGGAGTTGGATTGGCACACATCATTTTTTGTAGGCATCTTTATAGGAGGTGAGATGAATCTTAGCGTTAGCCGTAAGACAAGCAATGTCTACTTCAATCAACATAAGCTTCACATTATGGTGATATGTGCACACACACACTAGATGTGTTCCTGAAGCACCAGCGATGACACATTGCTTAGGCCGAAAGGTAAAAAACTTTGTAATTCCCACCTTCACATATGAATATTTCTGTTTAAAAGTTCTTTTACATCACAAATAATTAATTGTTTTTGCAAATGTTCCCTTTGTCCATCGTCCTTTTTAATGGATACAAAATCTTTTTTACCAGGCATTACCCGGCTGTTATCTTCTCTAAGATAAAAGTCGTTTACCAGTGTTTCAGTTTTAGGCTCCATCTTTCGTCCTTCACGAGGATTGTGCGTAGACATTATGCCGTATTTTTTCACCAACTCTTTTGCATTTTTTGCCTGCCTTCTGGATGTTCCAAACTCTTTATCAAGCCTGTTCCACGATTTTGGAGCAATAGTTAGAATCATAGTCTTTATTGGCCCTGGTGTAGAAGGATCATTAAATTTTTGTTTAAGTTGCTCCAAAATTTATTTATATTTATATTTCTTATTTTTAAATATTGGTTTATTATTATTTTCAAATAATCAATTTTAAATCGTAATAAAAAGCATTGTCAACATAATTATATATAACCACAATGTTAAGAAAATTTGGGGGTTCGTAAGTACCTACTAAATTTATTGTAATGCAATGCTGCATCTTTAAATGCCTATATTTTTTGTTTCAGTAAAAAAATATTAAAAAGGACAATAAAATCAAGTTAAACAATATCGATGTAGTTGTGCACAATAATTAAATTTTATTTAACAAGTTTTTCAAAAGCGCGATCGACTAAACAGTGTATCACGCGCTAGGACCTAACGCCGCGGCGCGCCACTAGGTTTGAGGAGGGTTTACTTTAAGTCCTCTAGCATTTAAACGAGTGCTCATCCCATTACAAAATTTTGTATGCCTCATCTATACATTTTGAGAGAATTTTTAAGCAATTAAAAAAAAACAAAAACTGGCCGAAATTAAAAAAATTATAATTTTAATTTTTTAAAACAAAATTTTTTATTTTTAACAAATTGGAATTTTTAATTTGAGTGCATAACGAAAAAGAGCATACAATTACCTACAAATTTGATTTTTTATTTTTTTTCTACGAAGATTTTTCAAGAAGCTAGACCCCTTTAAAATACACCATGCACAACGTTTTGACGAAAATGTAAAAGCCCCTAGCAGGGTCCCTAGGCTTCGCAGGGTCAAATAGTTTTATGTCAATGCTAAGACCCCCTAGGGGTACAGCATACCCAAATATGAACAAATTTAAACAACTTTGCTTTTAAAGTTGCCCGCTTCACAATAATTTACGTATAAATTTAAAAAAGATTAATTATGCAGAATAATTGTGCATTCATTATTAATGTAATGTCCTCGTCACAAAAATGCTATTAAACCTTGCTTTCAAAGTTGTTACCTGAAGAAGGAAGAAATTATCTTTATTTTTTAATAAATTTCAATGATAAAAATGTAATTTGATTGATCGTTTGTTTATTATAAAATATACTTATTTAAAAAGTAAAATTTATATTGTATTGTATATATAATGTCGATGTGCATAAAACTTTTAAGTCATTGATTACATTTTTAGAAATTTTATATTTTTTTAAGTAGGTACCTAATAAGTATATTTTAATGAACAAATCGATGGCACAATATTTAATAGTACTTTGTTATCTATGCTTAGATTTATTGTTTTGTCAAAGATTTCTTTAAATTGCTAGGATACTTGGGATGCATTGTTGATATTAAAATATTTGGTCGACTAGTCAAAAAAATAAATGCTTAAAAACAAGAAAAATGACATTTAAATTAAAACAAGTCGTTCTTCAAAATGGCCCAAGCACAAATTATTTTTATTTTGAGAATAATTGAAGAATGTTTTTTCTTATTCTGAAGTAAAGCATGAAAAGTTTAAATTAACAAATCATTCTTAAAAGACGAATTACAAATGCTAGCTTTTAGAATTAACTGCTTAAAGGTTAACATTTCATACGTTCTTGATTTACTGAACACAATCTTAAATTTAAAGAATAGCGTTCTTAATTTTAGACTAAGTAATTATTAACTTAAGAATGAAAATGTTTATTTTAAGAATGGGGATTTTCTTCATTTAATAAACACATTCTTAAATTTTGAGAATAAATATTTAATTTGAAAATAAAAGGTTCTTAATTTTAGAATTTAAAATTTTCAAATTAAGAAAGAAGATTTTTATATGTAAGCATAATTACTTCTTAATTTAAAAATAAAACGTTCTTTATTTTAAGCTTTTGATTTCCTAATTTTAAAAGGAACATTTTTAAGATCTGATTTATACAAGTTGATAATAAGATCTTTGGTGATTGCAGAGATATCTCTGGGTGATTGCGGTTATGTATTTTGTATTAACATGCATAAACCCATTTGCAAAAGAACTTCATATTTCTAAAAAATAAACTAAACTAAATTAACTTCTGCATAAACCTGGACCTAATCTTCCTAAATTTTGTATTTCTTATATTTTTTATTGTAAGTGTATATATAGGTTGGTAACAATGCTTAAAACTATGCTTTCATTTAAAAGTAAGTTTATTTAAAATAACTAATGAGCATCCTAACAATCCTATTTAAAGTAGTAATATATGACTATATACAGATCGCAAATTAAGATAGTCTATGGACTATCTTTATTTGTGATGCATTTCGTAAATTTTCCATACCCATGGGTATATTATATGTATAAGTATTAAACAAAAATTTGATATATGTCCGTTAGACATAAAACAACAAATAAAAAATGGTTCACATTTGTTATAAAAACTTAAGTTTTCTACATTTAAATACTATACAATTATTTGATAAAAATTGTAAATAAAACGGATTACACTTAAAATACCTTAGAGATTTTATAACGAAGCTCTTCTTTCACATCTACATGACACCTGTTTTTGTCGTACTTTTCTACTTTATAGGTCCGTAACACTGCAAAAGATGATTATCAAAAAATAACAGTTCTTTAACTATCAAAGTGGAGTTTGTTAAATTTTTCATATTGGCAGTAGGAATTTCACTATTCACTAAGAGAGAGAAACAAATGCAAGATAATGCGCAATTCCCTATTAGAAGTGAAAATAATTAGGGTCTCGACTCAAGTATTTTCGGGAAAAACTAGCTCGAAGCGCGGTACATACCAATTTAAATATCTATAATGATTTCTAGTAGGCAATCGCACAGGCTTGTGTGTTTCTCTATGGTTTTAACACTCACCAACACATCACAACTGAAAATGCGCTCAATAAACACTAAAAGCTTTAGTCAGTTATTACCGGCCGTTTCATTAAAAAGATTTTTACTGTTTATTTGAAAATAAAATTCTTAAAAACTAGAAAATCTATTTTTAAATAAAGAATGCCATACTTGTTTTAAAACTGTCCATACACAAATTAAGAATGAACATTCTTGAACAATTGAAGTTCTCTATTGAAGAATGCATTCTTAATCCAAAACTTGTTGTATGATAGTTTTAAAATGATACCTTTTTAAAGTAAGAATAAACATTCTCGCAATTCTTGAAGTTTTTCATTGAAGAATGCATTCTTAATTTCAAACTTGTTGTGAAATAGTTTTAAAACTAAGCGTTCTTAAAACTGAGAACAAGCATTCTCACAATTCTTAAGTTCTTTAATAAAGAATGCATTTTTAATTTAAAACTTGTTGAATAATAGTTTTAAAATAAGACTTTCTTAAAAGTAAGAACAATAATTCTCACAATTCTTAAAGTTCTTAATTAAAAAATGCTTTCTTAATTCAAAAACTGCTGTTTATTAATTTCAGAATAAGATGTTTTTAATGTAAGACCGCAGGTTAAACTTATTCTTATTTTTTTAATAGCACGTTTTAATCTATTTATTCTTAAACTAAGAATAATATATAGTCAAATTCAGACCTAAAAACTAAAAACGAAAATATTATAGCTTAAATTGAGATTTTGCTCTATGCTCCATTTAATGCATGTAGTCTTAAAAAAATCTAGGGAAGGATTTCTCTGAGAATAATTGTGCATTCATTATTAATGTAATGTCCTCGTCACAAAAATGCTATTAAACCTTGCTTTCAAAGTTGTTACCTGAAGAAGGAAGAAATTATCTTTATTTTTTAATAAATTTCAATGATAAAAATGTAATTTGATTGATCGTTTGTTTATTATAAAATATACTTATTTAAAAAGTAAAATTTATATTGTATTGTATATATAATGTCGATGTGCATAAAAGTCATTGATTACATTTTTAGAAATTTTATATTTTTTTAAGTACCTAATAAGTATATTTTAATGAACAAATCGATGGCACAATATTTAATAGTACTTTGTTATCTATGCTTAGATTTATTGTTTTGTCAAAGATTTCTTTAAATTGCTAGGATACTTGGGATGCATTGTTGATATTAAAATATTTGGTCGACTGGAATCCACTTCATTGTGACACTGCTCGGATAGCAAAATTAATTCACTATGATTTCACGCGTGACAGATGAGTCCTCAATTGATGCTCAATTTGCCATCACGCGAGAACTTTTAATTTTTTGCGCATGCGCTTATGGAGCATGGATTTAATTTTTCAAAATAATTTATCTGTCCTAATATTTATTTAACATCTTAAAATATACAAAAACATGCTTTAAAAGGTCATAATTATAGGTTATCATTATAACCTTAAGGTTAACTAATTAACATTATATAATTTAACTATAGTTAAAATTTAATAATAATTAATAAATATATTAATAATTAATTTGTGTATTTTAAAACATTTAAAATAAAAATTGTGATTGAAAATGGAGGGTGTTACATGCACATATGCGCAATTATAATTTATTATAATAACATAAAATTTTAAATGAAAATATATTTTATTATAATTATATTATATTTGTTTTAATTAATAGATATAAATATATAAATATATTAATATGGATATTATAGATCTATTATTATTAGGATAGTATAATTATAAATCTATAAATATAAATTTATATTGGTAATGTAATTAATAACACAAATAAATTTATATTTAATAACAAAAATTAATTATTTAATAACACTAGTAAACAATAAAAAAAGGTCGGTAATTAAAATAGCTCAGTCCTATAGATTTTGACCTGCTCGACGCAAATCCGGCGACCAAAAAATTTTCCAAAGTCTCGTTTAGACGATACGGGCAGCACCATGATACAAAGAAAAATTGTTAAATAATAACGATAAAAATAAGTAAACAAAATAATTTGAACGAAAAAAAACAGTAAACATAAAAAAAACATGCCTTAAATTTTTACAATATGTACAGAAAAATTGTTAAATAATAATGATAAAAATTAATAAATAAAAAAGGTCGGTAATAAAAGTAGCACACTCCTATAGATTTTGACCTGCTCGACACAAATC